ACAGTGTGGAATGTGTAAGAGGTAACTTTAGAGACACTCCAGTGGCATGCTTACATTGAAGGGAGTCTTTATCCACTATACCAGGATGTTGGCATCGTAAAAGTCCTAACAGATACTGTTGGTTAGGGCACATTGGAGTGGCTGTCATTTCGTTCAGTTATGTGAAAGTAGAAGTTACCTGCTTGAAGTCATGAGTGTGTTTTCTGCAGTCTGAGCAACATTTTTTTTTAAGAATAATAAATTACTGTTTTATTCTTCATGAACTGACTGTATGTAGAGTTAGGGGATAGAAAGAGATTCTGGAATGCAGTGGACAAGGGTTAGTAGTTGTTTTAAGGCTGTAGTTCGTTTTAAGATTCCACACCAGTTCCTGGCTTCAGATGGTCCAGCTCTGGCTGTTGTGGCCATTTGGGGAGTGAACCAGCAGATGAAGATCTCTCTGTGTCTCCTCCTTTTTCTGTGAATCTGCATTTCAAATAAAAAGAATAAATCTTTAGAAAAGTGAAAAATTGCAATACCAGGGTCATTAGTGCTGTGAATTCTTCATGGGAATATCACTGAAGCAATAGACAGTTTTGTGTGGAAAAGCATGCTTATCAGTGACTTGGTGAAAAAGTGGGCCCGAAATTATTTTGCATCAGAATAAACTTAGCTTTTAATTCCATTTTCTGTAAACTTTCTGAGGTACTTTTGTATACTCAAAAGATTGATACTTGATAAAATTGTTTTAATCTAAGAATTCTTTGGTGACGCATACAGATGTCTTAACTGATTAGAAAGTATTTGGTATGATTGTTTCTTTTTTCAGTGGTAAACAGTGGTACATTTTATTATTGACATCTTAGAACTAAATAAATGAGAATTCTATCTCCTTAATTCCTATGTCAAAGTCTTTCCTGGGTTTACTATTGTGATTCAGATCTGTCCTTGGATATATGCATTTCTATGATATGTGTGTGTATGTGTTTTAAATTGAATTTGTGGTTCCATAGATCTAATTCTCAGTGCTTTTTTCACTTAACAAAACTAGCTGTGTTGCCTCACGTGTCTTAAGTTCATTCCTTCTGACTGTGCATGGTGTATCCACACAGCTTCTCAATTGTGTGCATAATAAGCATCTGGGACACCTCTAATTTGTTGCTGTTACAGCAGTACTACTGAAAATATCTTTATAAATATTCCTTTATTACCAAATGTGGATGTTTTACATACTGTGTGTATACACATCTGTGTGTTCAAGTATAAGATTATTTCATAAAGCTTGTGGAAAATCAGACATTCTAAGTTTATTTCAGTGCAAAATATTTGAAGTACATGCATTCTAAGAGACTTCAGGAAGGCTTATGGAGTAAGGGAAATGTATATCATGAAGAAAGATGCATGGATTCGGAATTTTTAAATTAGATTCAAAAAATTCTATTTCCTTTGAACTTTTGGATGTGCCATTATACCCAGGTACTTACATGCATACGTCTACTTGGATGGGTACAAGTTTATAATCTTGGGTGAAGAATTGCTAGTCAGTGTATCTGAATTCTTATTTTCAGGTTGCTTGTTGGAGTCTTCTGTGAGGCATATTTTCCCATTTTCTCCCTAATATATGTGGCATTCTAATTTTGTAATTATTTAATAAAGATATGGTGTTTTTTTCTCCTTTTTTTGTGCTCTTGAGGATTATGAGTTGCAACATTTTCCTTATGCCTGAAAAGCTGTAGGTTTTGCCCTTCTGTAAACTAGTAATTCACATTTGTTTCCATTTTTTCTGCTGTTGGGTTTTGTGTCTTGTCTGTTAATTTGTAGAAATTGAATGGTGCCATTTAGAACTTTATTTGTGAGTTCTTTTTCGTTTTAATGATAGTATTGTGTTCTGCATTCACAAAAAGTTTTGGGAGCTAACCAATGTTGGTGGTGGCATAGAGAAAGTGAATGCTAGCACACTTTTCTTGGAAATAAATTCATTATTGAAAACAGTATTGAGATTTGCAATAAAAAAGTAGAATTCCACTGCTGAGTATATAGCCCTCTTAAGCCACAAGCTGCACATCTGATTTAAACCAATCATGGGATGAAAACAAAAATGAAATAAGCAAAATACTGCTTGACCGTAAGTAAACTGTAACAGTTTATTTAGTATTTACATTATATTTTATATTCTAAATCATCCAGAAAGTTTCATTGTATTAGGCATCATATTGTAATTTGGGGGTGATTTGAAGTATATAGTATATGCAAATATTCTGTCCCTTTATATAAGTAGCTTGAACCTCTGTAGGGTTTGGTTTACTGAGGGATCCTGGAACCAGTCCTTCATGGATACGAAATGATCATATGTCTGGAGGAAGTGAGATATGTCCTTGTTCATTACAGCATCATTGACACTATCTGAGAGTGGGGTCAACCTGAGTATCCTTGAGGATTATTGAATGGTAAAGAAAATGTTGCCCCCAAAATGAAATGTTGTTCTATGCCTTAGTTATTTCTGCTGTAACAAAGCACCTGATACCGGGTAATTTGTAAATGATGTGGAGTTTTCACAGTCCTGGACCCTGAGAAGTTCACTTCTAGCTACCGTAGGTGGCTGATAAGGGTCCTGTCTCTGCTTCCAGGATGCTGCCCTGAATTCATAATTCATGCTCTGAGCCGTTTTTTTAAAGGACCCTCAGCCTATCCATGAAGGACTGTGCTCTGTAATTTATCTCATCTTTAAAGTCTTCCTACTTACTACTATCACATTGCTCATTACATTTTTTCTTTCCTTTTGTTTTTGACGTGGGGGTGGTGGTATTAAGTTTCAGTGTATGGGCGATACATTCAAATCATAGCATTTGCGGAAATCATGCAATTTGACACAAACCTGGAGATATGCAAGTAAAATATGCCAGACACAGAAGGACATATGCTGCACATCATGTGCATACAAAATTTAAAAAAAGGGATTTATTTTTTTGTATTGCAAAGTCAGATATACAGAGGAGGAGAGACAGAGAGGAAGATCTTGCGTCTGATGATTCACTCCCCAAATGGCCACACTACCGCAGCTTAGCTGATCTGAAGCCAGGAGCCAAGAACTTCTTCCAGGTTCCCATGCAGGTGCAAGGTCCCAAGGCTCTGGGCTGTCCTCGACTGCCCTCCCAGGCCACAGGCGGGGAGCTGGATGGGAAGTGGGGCTGCTGGAATTGGACAAGGACTTTAGCCGCTAGGCCACCATGCCAGGCCCTACATATGGAAGTTCTTAAGAGTCACAGAAGCAGTGTGATTGCTAGGGCCTAAGGTTTGGGGAACATGAAGAAATGTTGTTCTAAGGGGCCAGTTTCCGTCGTGCAGGGTTAACGTGTCCTTGAGATCCTGTGTACCGTATACTGAGTGCAGTCAGCAGTGCTGTATTACCCTTGAGCCTGTGGATACCAAAGGCCGTCTCTGTGAAAGAAAAACTAACTTTGAATCGATGGATATGTTATTGAACTTAACTTGGCAATGCTCTCAGTTTTGTGTGTATGTGTGTGTTTTGGGAGTTTTTCCTCTGGCATTCAGGTATTTATTAGCCTTGAGTTTGTACTGTGTCTCTTTGACAATCCTCCCCTTCAGGCGTGTTGATTGAGAGGTAGGAGGGTTTGTAAATGCGTTGTTTTTCCAAGTGGATTGCTTGAACTGGGTAACAGTTTCTCTGAACCTAATGTGGGTGTATTCTGTTGGGAGCAGTATTGCTTTGTTGGTATCTCCTGTGTATTTCTGTAGTTGCCAGGGTATCTCATCCCCTTGTTGGTTAGCCCTTTTTAGCTTCCATGATTCTCTTCTAAGAGGAATTTAGGAAGGCACTAGCAGATGGGTCCTATTGAGGGCCTGCTTTCTATTGCACGAATGATGCTTTTTTGCTATGTCTTTGACATGCGGAAAAGGGGCTCTCATGCTTCTTTGGGGTCGTTGTCTTTTTTCTCTCTTTTCATTAGTTCAAAGGCTGAGTCACATAGAGGATTCTGTGTATGTGCATACATAGAGATAGAGAGAGACCCTGGGACCTTACCTCTGCAGGGTTAGCTTGTCAACCACGAGGCAGAAACTCCTTCTGGGTCTCCTATGTGGGTTTATTTTGTTAGCCAGGACTTTGGTATGCTGAAGGCAGGAGGCAGAAATTCCCTCTGGGTCTCCCATGGGTGGCAGCAATCTTTCCTTTTTCTGGTCGACAATGTGCTCTCAGTGGCTGGTACCTAGATTTCGTTGGCCAGAACTGTGTCATATGTCCAATGTTAATTCAAAGAAGGCTGAGCAGTTTTTACTATTCTGTTTTAATTTTCTATAGGGAAATCCAGGGAGAAGAGAAGTGGCCTTTAAGTTAATTCAAACTGGTTAAGCACATAGACCTGCATTTTAATTTTGGCTCTTTTGTTTCCCGGCTGTGAGGCTCCGTGCCTCAGTCTCTCATCTGTAAAATGCACCTAATAGTTGGTACTTACCTCTCTGTGTTGTTCAGTGGATTAAATGAGTTAATGTATACCCTGGGTTTAATTGATGTAGTTCATTCTGTTTAAAATCTTAATTATCATCAACAGCACCGAGTAGTGTTTTAGCTGAAACTGTATGTTTATCCCTGGAGGAGTTAGTTTTCTTTAGATAGCACAGGGAATGCTTTTATTCACAGATACAGATAATTGATTTGAATCCGGGGATAGTTAGAAGAGGAAGATGGTAATATTTTTTTTAAGACATCTGGTGACTACTTTGTACTATTAAAAGTTATGAGCTGACTTAAAATAGTTAAAACCTATTTTAGTTTATTGATTAAATTTACTTGGGAGCTTGGGATTATCTTGAACAAATTGTGATTTTAAGCAAACCCTTAAGCCTGAAGGAAATTGCATCTCATTGATAGTGTTTGAAGACTTACATGTTGAAATGTGACTTTAAATTGGTATTGTTACTAGCCTTTTCTAACTTGTTATATATATATGTACATTTATGTGTAGGTATTCTATATATCAGTCACTTTTTGATTTTCTTTTCAGCCCCATCTGCTTTGACATGATTGAGGAAGCGTATATGACAAAATGTGGCCACAGCTTTTGGTAAGAGGATTTTATTCAATGAAAAAGTCTTTTGGCACGTTTTTTAAGGCTTACATGCAAATGTAATGAGGGAGCGGTATGCTTTATAAACACATTTTTTAACTGATATCTCTTTACAGGTTTGACAGCTCAAGAAAGCATGGTTGGCATATCATTTCTGTTACTTTTCTATTTCATGTTCACAAGAACTTTGCTGTTTTAGAACATTGGGAGTGATAAACAGGACAAAGCCTGTGGTAGGAGTTACTTGTGAGGACAGGTGAGCAGTCTAGGAGCAGGCTGAGAAGGACGTTGGAGGATAGAAAGAAACAAAGTTCTTTTTTCTCTGTAACATTTTATTCAATGTTGTCTTGAGAGTATGTGTGCATACATCAGATTTTTTTTACACTAAAATTACTATCTTTCAAATTGATTTTTGGAGCACTTACAGTTTTATTTATTTATTTTACTTATGTGAGAGATACAGACCTGGTGAGGTCTTGCATCTCCAGATCTGCCGTGGAAACCTGCAGTGACTGCACTGGGCCAAGTTGAACCTAGGAGCCTGATGCTCAGGCCGCATCCCCGTGTGTGTGGATCATCACTGCCCTCCTTGTGTGGCACCTGGACCCGCAGCAGAGGGCACTGTTGCTCCAGACACCTCCTCTTTCTGGGGTTTTAATGTACCCTGGTGTATTTTGTCACATTAATCTGTGCATTAAAATTTTGGTGAGATTCTATAGTGTAGAATTTATGATCTGTATATAATTTAGTAGAATTAGGTATTCCTATTGTTGCATAATTGATTTTACTACCTTTTCAGCTTGTAAAACTGAAACTGTTTTTAAATTTATTTTTTAAGATTTATTCAATTTGAAAGGTAGAGTTAGGGAAAGATTCCTCTTCCAGATGGCTGCGCTGTTAAGGCCTGGGCCAGGATCTTCTTGCTGGCCGCTCTCCAGTGCTGCAGCACTTTGGCCCTCCTCCATGCTTTTCCTGCACATTAGCAGAGGCCTGATTCAAAGTGGAGCCTGGAAACTTGAATTTTTTTAAGACTGGCTTATTTCATATAGTGTTATGTCCTTGTTATTGACCCACCTTGTAGCACGTGTCAGAATTTCCTTTTTAAGGCTGAGTAATAATATTCCTGTACATGTATTTGTATGTGTTGCATTTGTCTGTTCAGTCACCCATGGACATTAGGATTGCTTCCACCCCTTACCTGTCATGTAATCGTGCTACGAACTTCCGCATAGAAATAACTTTGTAGAAATCTGCTTTTAGTGCCTTTGGATACATAACCCGAAGTGAAATTGCTGGGTAAAAACTTGTAATTTATATTTTTTTATTTATATTATTTTTGTTCTTGAAGGTTAGAGTTGCAGGGAGAGCAGGAGAGAGAGAGAAAGAAAAAGGAAGGAAGGAAGGAAAGAAGGATGGAAGAAAGGGAGGGAGGGAGGGAGGAAGGAAGAAAGAGGGGAAGGGAATCTTCCCTCTGTTGATATATTCCTCAAATGACAGCAGTGCCCTGGGCTGGGCTTTATGGAGTCCGGGAACCAGGAAGCTTTGTCCAGGTCTGCTGGTTGTTTCAGGGCCCTGAGCGCTTGGGCGATCCTCTGCTGCTTTCCCAGGCACATTAGCAGCAGCTTGATTTGAAGTGGAGTAGCCAGGACTAGAACCGATGCCCGTATGGGATGCAGGAGTTGGAGGTAGCGACTTTACATTGCTAATCCACAGTTCTGGCCCCTAAGCTAGTTTTCCACTACTTGGCCACACAGGGTACAAAGATTTTGATTTGTCTATATCCTTGTGATTACTTATTTTTGTTGTAATTCCATTTCTTGCTTTAAAAACATTTTTGCATTTAATATTGCTGGTTTATTACAAAGGATAAAATACAAGTGACAACACACTGTGGGTAATGCATGTAGGAAGGGGTATGGGCCCTCTTGCCCTCGTCTTAATCACCATTCCAGTGCCTCCATATGTTTAAACTAAAAGCTCATCAAACCCTGTCTTTTTTGAGTTGTTAGGAAGATTTTATTAAATAGCCTCTGTTGATATACCACTGATCACAGGCAGTCAGTTCAAACTTGAGCGCCCTCCCTTAAGGAGACTGAGTTGAAAGTTGCAAATGTCTTTGTCACGTGGTTGCTTTTCTCAGGCATTGTGCCATCCAGGGGCCATCTCAGAGCCTGCAGGAACCGTGTTCTCACTGGATACGTTGGTTTTTGATTGGGGGTGCTTCATGTTACTTCTGATCAGTCATTTTATCAATGATTTACTTCTTCTGTTGCTATTTTATTAATAATTCAGTTGTGTTGTAGTAGCTCCTATAATTTGACTGACAATAAGGACAAGCCCATAATCTAATGCTGAAGTTAAATGTGATATGTTGGTGTCCTTTACTCATGAAGACTGGTTGGTGTGCAGTTTCATGTGCAGCATGGAGCATCTGTGCCAGTTTAGAATAATATGATCTTTCTTAGCTTGCATTATCCATGTTCTGTAAATATAAATGTATTAGCACGAGAATAGTGATATGTGCTTTTGGCTTAGAAAGCAATGTTTGTTGTAAATTAAAATAAAATACAAAATAAAATGTGAGTCTGTATCTTCTCTTTTCTGACTTCTTTTTTTAAAGAAGTAAGCAAAGACAAGGAGTCTTTATACCTGTATTATATAAAAGTCACTTTTTCAGTTTGTAAAGACATATGTTTTGGTATATTGTTGCATTATAGTCCTTACAAATCGTAACACTGTATTCCTAATGAGGTGTCTGGCCAGTTCTGAGCGATTGGGAACCAGAAGCCAGTTCCTGATGAGGTCTTATTAGGCTGCTGTGTAAATGGTCTTGGTCTTTTCAGTGTGATGATCTGGCAGCAGTGTTCCCTTTGGCCCATAAATTGACCGTATACCTTTGCACTCCACAGGAAACCATGTACTTCTCAGAAGTTTTGAATTTTATTTATTCCGAAAAATGGACTGGTCTGGAGTAGGCCTGCTTGATTTTGCTGCTCGCATATATCTTTGTATCACACATCTTCCTGTATTTTCTTAGTATGAATTCCTAGAAGTAAAAATCACTAAAGGTGTTGAAAAACCCTAGTGGTTTTTATATAATTTGCCTGTACGGAAAGATTCATTCTGGGTGATAAAACCAGTATGTAATTTAAATATTGAAGTTATTTTTTGTTGATTGTTAAACAGGCAAAAAAGAAAAACAGATTGAGGTAGGCTGAGCTCCTGTAAGCAGCTCACTGTGCACATGCCGTCCGTCAGCTGCCAGTCAGAACCTGGATTGCAGACAGGGAGATCAGGCTTCGGGCAGAACAGGAACCCAGCTGCTGGGACCATGTCGCTGCCTTGGAGGGAGTCGGGCAGACTTTGGAGTTGAACGCAGGCGTTTGGATGTGCGACACAACCATCTTGAGCTCATGCCTTAGAAAACAATTTTTTTTTTATTGGTGAAGATGATGATTTTCTCAAAAGTTAACTAATTTTTGTCTTTGTTTCTTTTTTATCAGCTCTTTTTGTATTAAGCATTAAGAACTCTGAGAGCATGAATTTTTTTTGTTTTGTTTTATGGAGGTAGTTATTTGCTTCTCTGGTGTTACATACTATTTAGCTTGTATAAATTAAAAATTTAGTTAATGTGTATTTTATATGTAGTAGGCTTTGTTACATTTACTTTGAAATATTTTTTATATTCTTCATCTGTTAAGTGCCATGTGTATCTTAGTTATAAGGTGCAAATATGAATGGAAATTAATTTGTTAGATTATTTGAGTTGAAAACGAGTAATGAAAGACTAGTAGGCATCATTTTGTGACGAGTTTAAATTTTTGTTCATTTAATTAAGCTTGTTTTATTTTTTTCCCCCTGCTAATAGCTACAAGTGTATTCACCAGAGTTTGGAGGATAATAATAGATGCCCCAAGTGTAACTATGTTGTGGACAATATTGATCATCTCTATCCTAACTTCTTGGGTGAGTCTTTGCAACAATTTTTAAAATGTCCTTTCCTCTGAAGTGTGTGCTGGCGCTCATTCGGAAGACATGCCTCCGAGGCCTCTTGCTGCGGCTTCCTAGGGTGCTTTTCTCTCCTAGGTTGAAGCGTAGATTCCTTCTATTGTTAGTAACATAGTGTACTGTTTTTCAGATTTGTTTATAATGGTAGGTGGACAACAGAACAAGATATGTGATACGGGAATGTCTGCCATCCTGAGCGCCTTTCTGTCTTTCTGTGTATTGCAGTGCATTCTGAGTATCTCTGCTTCTGGGATACCGATGACAAGTATTAGAGAAAGGGTCACTGGGTGAGGGAAGTTAGATCTAGTGAATCTTGAGGGAACAGAGGGGAAGGAAGTTGAGTTGAGGGTTCCTGGAGGGAGGACAAAAATGTGAAATGGGGAAGTTGCTGGAAAGTTGAAATTAGGGAAGGTTGATAAAGATGTAGAATTTTGGTACAACAATAAGAGCCAGAGAAAGGAGATGTGAATAGATATGTGTTAAGTCTAAATGGTAAATTATTAGAGCAGGTAATCAGATGGTAATTGTCCATGTCTGACGATTTCTACAACTCAGCTGAACATAAAAAACCTTTAGTTTTTAATTGTAGCAATGAGTAAGTCAAACATCGTCAGATATAAGTAGACATGAAGAGGACTTCTCTTGCAAAAAAAATATATATAAATATATAAATGCATATGTATAAAAGATTTAATTCTTCATTCTAAAGGAAAACGTGTTCAGAATTAGCAGGCAGTGACTGCTGAAACTTTAGAGCTTTCCTTCTTGTATCAACTCCAAACTCCTGTGCCTTTTTCTTGGTTACTTTTCACTGTAGTCCAGTACTTTTTCACAAAATAAGATGATATCAGAGCAGAGCAGAGTCCAAAGGAAATGTGTTGGAGGTATTCTGTTGTCGTGATTAATTCTTTCAAGTAGTTAAACTCTTACGGGAAACTTGGAGGAGGAACTTCTCAAAAAAAAATGAGAGGAATGTTGAGGAGTAGAGTTGGTTTTCATGAGCAGGTTAGGCAAAGGAGAAAGCCGACTCCTGTTCCTGAACTTGCAGGTGTGGGTTGGCACAGTGTTAGAGGATTCTGGGTAACTGCAAGAGTGCCAGAGTAGCTAAATATGGAAAGAAATCTAGTGTTCTGAAGATTTTGGTACTTACTGCGGTTTTCATGCAACATTCCTTAGTCAGAAATTCTCCTGTGGATATTTCTCGATGATAAGAGGAGTGCTGTGTTCATCCTGACATGGAAGGAATATATAAATGCAATGCGATTTAAATTGGAAAGTGATTCCTAACATGATATATTTATTCCAAACTCAAGTGTCCCGTGAGCCCCGGTCACAGCTCCTGACTTTTTAAGCTAGATATTGTCTTAGTGATGATCTAGTTTCAGTGTTCTTTTTCTTAGTTAAAACATTTGTTTTTAGGAAAGTAGAGGTCCTTTTTTTAAATTTCCGTATTTGAAGTGTGGTTTTCTGTCAGCCATGAAAATAGACTTGCTCCTGATTTTTCTATCACTGTTTTTCTGCCCATCACCACTTTTACCAGGTTGTTCTTAATGCAGTAATGGGCAGATCCTTTGACCTCTGCACTGCATGACGGAGTCTGTATCTCTTCAAGCCCTCTGGAGAGAGTCTTGAGATCTTTTATGTTTCTGACAGTGGAATACTTACTGCTCATGTGTTTTTATAGTAAGGCGGTTTTTCTCAGCTCTTTATTTTCGTAAGTGAATTTAGTGTATGATTTGTTTAATACCTGCAGTTCTTGTTAGGAAGACCTGACATTCTAAGGTAACTTTCAGATTTCTTCTTGGGCAATTGCTATACTAGTCTCAGGAAGTCCAGACAGCGTTGCACTCTTTTGATTGATTGATTGATTGAGTCCTTTCACTTTTAATGCTGTAAAGGCATAGAGGGCTGGGTCAATTTCTGTATCATTGCTCTTTGAGCCAAGTTTAAATCTGAAGTATGAGAACTGGCTATGGTTTCAAGTAAATGCTTCCTTGACTAGGATAATGATAATGTTGGCTAAAAATGGCATGTCAGGTCAGAAACCTGAGAACATGTTATTCATGTGGCAAATACTGGGTGCCTCCTATGTACAGAAATGAGCATTGGTGAATATGAGTGGAATTGAGTCATTCAAGGCTTTAGTCTGTAGGTGAATTGATATCTTATGATCATTGCTTTTAAAATCAGTTGACTTAATGTTGTACTTTTCTTGTTTATGAGTTAAGAATAGTTATTTACTTCTAAGTATGTGGCTTTGATGTTTTTGACATTCGGACATGTAAATCCATTATATTAGTCTTGCGTTTTTAGAGTTACTTTACTTTTTAAATTTTAAATTACAAAATGATAAACACGCCTTGATGATGTGTAAAATTTAAACAGTTTAAAGAAACTGTTTAAGAACATTTTTTTTGAAGCGGATTTTATTTTCATAGAATGGTTTTTGGTCCAAACAAAATTGAGGAGAGTGTGCAGAGCTCTCCCCTGGGTGCTCTGCCCTCACACATGTCAAGTTCCAGCGCTGTGAGTGTCCCAAGGTGTGTTTGTCGTAATGGTAAAGCCGCAGAGCCTAAGCATCACGCCTGTGCACACTCTACCTTAGCACTGATGCTTGGTGTTGCACCTGTGTGAGAAGTGGATAAATGCAGAACGACAGGTGTGCTTCTCTGCAGGCCTGTAGGGAGCATGCCCACTCTACCAGCCTCCCCTGGGCTCGGCTTACTCAGTCAGTGAGGTGTTCTAAGATTTATTCTATTTTCATTAGAGGTCAGATCCACAGTGTGGCGGAGAGACAGAGAGGAAGATCTTCTGTTCAATGATTCACTTCCCAAGTGACCACAAAAGCTGGAGCTGAGTCAGTCCAAAGCCAGGAGACAGGAGCTTCTTCAGGGTCTCCCACGTTCATGCAGGGTCCCAAGGCTTTGGGCTGTCCTCAACTGCTTTCCCAGGCAACAGGCAGGGAGCTGGATGAGAAGTGGAGCTGCCAGGATTAGAACCGGCATCCATATGGATTCCCAGAGAGTACAAGGCAAGGACTTTAGCTGCTAGGCTACTGTGCCAGGCCCCCTTTAGTGAGATTTTTATTGTCTGCATTATTTGGTCTTTTTTGCGTTGTTATGTAATTGATAACGCAGTGTTTAGCCTTTTGAAGCGGGTCTTCTTCACTGAGTGCCATGTATTTCAGGGTCCCTTATGTACTTCTATGATGTGTTAGCTCATTTGGTTTTAGGATTGAGTACCATTTCTTCTAGAAGATTGAGCATTTACTTATCCCTTCATTTACCAAAAGATCTCCTGGTTGGCATAACTTTTTCTTTTTTTTTTTTTTCAGATTTTTTATAAATACTTATTTTTATTGCAAAGTCAGATATATAGAGAGAGGAGGAGAGGCAGAGAGGAAGCTCTTTCGTCCAATGATTCCCCCCCCAAGTGGCTGCAATGGCTGGAGCTGCACCAATCCAAAGCCAGGACTAAGGAGCCTCCTCCAGATCTCCCATGTGGGTGCAGGGTCCCAAGGCTTTGGGCCATCCTTGACTGCTTTCCCAGACCACAAGCAGAGAGCTGGATGGGAACTGGGGCAGCTAGGATTAGGACCAGCACCCATATGATGGTGGGTGCAGGACCAGGACTTTAGCTGCTAAGCTACCATGCTGGGCCCTTTTAAAAAATTAGATTTTAACAGAGTCAGTGTAAGTTGTGCAGAAATTGGTAAAAACATAACATTATTCCTCCCTTTCCTGCCTTCTACATTTCTTCCTTTTTTCTTTCTATCCTTTTATTTTTCTGTTTATTGCAAAAAAAAAATTTCCTAGGTAGAATCATTGTTGTAGGGTATAATTTTTAGAGAAGTAAAAGCAAATTTGATAAACATACAATTTAAATAACTTTTATAGTGCTACATACCAATTAATATCTGCTCTTTTTGCTTTTATTTATTATAAATGCTTTACAGTTTGTTTTTATGGTCATTAAAAAGTTAATTATTCCTATAGTACTGTTGGTGATAATCAGTTACAGTGTGAAATCTCTAGGCCAAATGCTCCATCACAATTCATAATGAAATCATAATTCTGCAGCTGAATTATCAAACTGTGATTTACTCCATCCTGTTTATTTTCATTGTATTAGTTTAAATCTACGTCATCGTGATCCTGGTCAGCTGTGCTGATTTGAAATCATTTTATCTCCACATACCAAAACACACCCATCTACATATGTGCCCACCCCCACCTACTGTTTTCTGAATTTTTATCCATGCCTATTTCTTTTTTTTAAATATTTTAATTTGAATTTTGAGTTATGTGGTACATTGTTGTATAGTCTGGGATTCCCCCCAAACTCCCACACCCCGTCAGATTTTTCTCATTTTGTTACAATAGTGTAGTCCATAAGGAATCATAATTCTGTCAGTCTCTTATTTAAGTGTACTTTGACATTTGCTGGTACAGTCGATGTCAGACATTCCAGCATCCCATTGTCTACACATGTCCAATAGTTTCATTGGGAATCCATCTTTCGTCTGGATATAGGGATGCATGTTCCATGCCTATTTCTAAGTGAATTTCTATATACCTGTTCTCACCCAAGTATTATTTCATCTTAAAGTGAAAAACTTGCTTCTTAAGAAGTACTATCTGCAGTGTGTTTTATGAATTTATTTAAAATAGCCCTTTAGTATAGTTTGACTGGTTCATCTTGTGTGTCTCTGTCTTGCTAGTCTGTGTTCAAAATTTTTGATAATCTTACTCATCTTTGAGACATCTGTTTCTTGTGTAAGATAAGTGGTATCTTCCAAAATGCTCCTAGTTGCCTTTGCTGTATGTAAAGGAAGATTATATAGACGATTGGGTTTGTTTCTCAGCTCTTTCATATTGTGCATATCACTTTAAGTTCCTCGTACTCCGTGTTGTGACTGTTCCTCCTCTTTAAAAAGGGAGGAAATGAGATGATATCTACAAAATAAGTACCTTGCATAGTGTGCATTTTTATTTATCAGTTTTTCTTGTGTTTGTGTATTTGTGTATGTATTGACTGGAAAAAAAAGAAACATGCGACTAGTGGCTGTAGGAAGTGTGTTGATTCACAGGGTTTAGAATTTGCGGAGAAGTGAATTCAGTAGTGCAGTGGTATTTCTGTCTGTCTGCTATCTGTATGTTCCAGCTCCATCCTTTGGGTACCTACCCTCGAGTCTGTAAGAAGGTTGTAGTCATTTCTAGAGATTATTCCCATGTAAATGTAAGGAAAAAAAACATCTCTCTTAGCTTTGTTTTGGAAGTACAACCCACTTCTTTGTCAAAACTTGGTCAGATACGCGTGCACATCAGCCCCGGTAAAGTTGTGAGTGCCTGGATTGTTTTAGCTTGGTCAAGGATCATGCTGGGGTGGGGAGCCATTGAACCTGTCTCAAGGTTGTGTGCAAACTAAAAATCAGAAACAAATCTTGTTATCAAGGAAAGGAATAGAGTGATTTGGTGATATGCAGATGTTACTATCTTGAGTCACTTGTAAGAAAAGTTACAAAAAAATCTTTAGTGCTTACCTCAGTCGGCCACTTACCGTGTGCTCCACAATCCCACACAGCAAAGCATTGTCTCTCCTTTGTCTTTTTCAGTGAATGAGCTCATTCTGAAACAGAAGCAAAGATTTGAGGAAAAGAGGTTCAAATTGGACCACTCAGTGAGTAGTACCGTATGTTTCAACTCTTATTACTATATATATTTTTTGTTTTTATGCGGGCTTAATATTAATGAGATTTTATGTTTTAATGCATGATTGAATTTTTGTTTTTAGCTTTGCTAAAATGAAGTAGATCTTTGTATTGGGTTCAAACAAAATGAAACAAAGGGTAGATATTTTCAAATAATTGTTGAAAGATATTGATATGAAAGAATTAGACTCAATTTATTAAGGCATTCAAGCTTGCATTAATATCTTACCAAATGCAAAGTAAAAAATATGTTTAGACAAATCCAGTCACTTATTTGAGGGGAAATTATGCCTTAATAGAGTTTACCTTAAATTGTCATTTATGTGTCTTTCAAACTGTTACCTACACTACTATAGGGGAGAAATTCCATTTAGAGTTAGAGGGCAGTGGGATTCAATAATTGGGAAAGAGGAGTAGGAATATGTTTGATACATAAGTAATAAGAGGTAGTGGTTAAATGCATCAGAAACTAGAATAATTTACGAAGTATGTATCTCTCTGTTTTGTCTTTAGAATGGCCATAGGTGGCAAATATTTCAAGATTTGTTGGGAACTGATCAAGATAACCTTGATTTGGCAAACGTCAATCTTATGTTGGAGCTATTAGCACAAAAGAAAAAACAGTTGGAAGCAGTAAGTGATGACTAAATTAAAAAATTTCGTTTTAAATGGTGATGTTTATTGCATTGAAAATGATTTTAAAATTTTTAAAAGTAAGATGGTGATGTCATTGATCTGTTTGTTTTACTTGGCTAGTAACATCTGCAAAATACCGGTTCTGACCAAGTCTCCTTTTTCAAGTTAAAGAAAGATCAAATTCCTTACATATAAGTAACATTTTTGCAGTTATTGTTCACATTAATTAGTAACTATTACGTTGGTTAATTTTCTTTTTTCTTTTTATTTTTTTCATTATTTACATTGTATTATGTGACACACTTTCATAGGCTCTGGGATTCCCCCAAACCCTCCCCCTCCCCTCCCCCCATGGTGGATTCCTCCACCTTGTTGCAGTATTACAAATCAAATTCAGTTGAGAGTCTTTCATTGCAAGCATATACCAAGCAAAGAGTCCGGCATCTAATTGTCCAGATACATTCAACGGTTTCTTGGGGAGACCATCTCTGGTCTGAAGGTAGAGCTGGCAGAATATCAGCCTGATCAATAAAAAGCCCCAACTTAACATCAATGACAATTTACATTATGGAATTAATTGTCATGGAATTGTGTAACCAATTATATTGGTTAGTTTTCTTCTAATGAAAACTAGTTTTAGTTTTCTTGCTGTGTCAGCCTGGAGATTACTGTTGTGTATCCAAAGTCTTTTTATGTGTCCGTTGGTATCAGTGGTCTCTGGCTCAACTAAGCCTTAAAGAGACTTTGAGTACATAAATATATCCTATTTCGTGTAATGAAATGGAAAAAATAGATGTAAAAATTGCATTTATATACATATAAAAATGGAAAATGTGAAATTGAATGTGTTAGGTACTGATGTGTTAAGAAGTACATATCTTAGCATAGCTATACACCTAGACCTAACTTAAATGGGATATTTATTGAGACAGGAAAGCAATGAGTGGCTCACACAAAGAAGTAGAGCTATGTAAGAAAACTTGGAGCATATTAGAACTGTGATGTTCCTGGTGCAGGATAAAAAAATGAGATCAGGGACTTGAATATTGTTGGAAATCTTTCTTCTGTGTCCTTTTCTGTCTGTTGGGGGAGCTCTGATTTTTCTTCTGTCATGGATTTTTATTACACGAGGTGATGTGGTCATCTGTCCTTCATTTATATTTATGATTTCTGACAAAGGGAAGAAGGTAGGCTTTCCTCCCCCCTCCCCCACTTAACTGAAGTTTAAAAGTGTTTTTAGCTCCAGCATTACAGCATAGTGGGTTAAGCTGCAACCTTGGAGTTGAGCTTCCCATAGGGCAGCAGTCCAAGTGCTGGCTACTCCACTTCTGATCCAACTCCCTGAAGATGACCTGGGAAATGTGAAGCAGATGGTCCAACTATCCATGTTGGAGACTCGTGATTTTAGCCTAGCCTACTCCTGGCCATTGGTGTCTTTCTTTTTCCCTCAAAAATATTATAAGCATTTTGATGGGGGTTACCTAGAATATATATATATATATATATTTTTTAAAGATTTATTTATTTTTATTACAAAGTCAGATATACAGAGAGGAGGAGAGACAGAGAGGAAGATCTTCTGTCCAATGATTCACTCCCCAAGTGTGCACAACGGCTGGTGCTGTGCTGATCTGGAGGTCTCCCACATGGGTGCAGGGTCCCAAGGCTTTGGGCCCTCCTCGACTGCTTTCCCAGGCCACAAGCAGGGAGCTGGACAGGATGTGGAGCTGCTGGGATTAGAACTGGTGCCCATATGGGATCCTGGCTCTTTCAAGGCGAGGACTTTAGCTACTAGGCCACGCCTCCCGGGCCCTAGAATATATATTTTTTATAAGCTGGTTCTGTCCTTTCTGTATTCCCATGAGTTGTAAGCAGTCTACTTATCTGAGCCTGTGGACACTTCCGGTGTCTTAGTACTAGATGATACTCCAGGGTCAGGTTTGCCTTTGGTCTGTGTTTGGTGAATTTTCACTATCTTAGTACTACAGAGTGAGAGAATCAGAAGTTCTAAAATCTGACCAATGCCGTTTGATAATTCTTTATTTTTGTTAACACGTTTTATTAGTGTTTATTTGTTTCTTTTTTGTTGTTTTGGATTTCCCTAGGGTTTTTAATTTCTCATTAATATGAAGAAAAATCGGAAATTTGTCTATAAACTTACTGTTTAGATTTTGGGTTTTAATATCCTTTTCTGTTTGTCACAGTCACTTGAAATTTTCGTAGTTCTCATAAAAATGTACTATCAGCAAGTGGTTTATTTGTGTCCTCGATGTCTTCAGAAAGTTCAGAGAAAATGTGTGATTTGATAACCTACGCATGTATCTCAGAAATGGCTTCTGCACTCAAACCAACCTGCAGTAACTTATTATAACATGTCTAGTTAGGATTTACTTCCAATCATTCCACAAAGTCTCAGTTTGATAAAAGCCCCTGTTAGAGCGTCATCCAAAGCTGAAGCAAGAATAAATGTAACATTTTATGACAGGTGAAGTGGGCTGAAGCGGTTGATACTTTCTGAAATGTTTGTAAAGAAATGCCACAAAGAATAAAGCAGTTCACCAGGAAATGACTTGCTTTAAGACGGGATGAGATCATACTGAAGATGATGCCCGCGGCAGTGGAGCATCCACATGATTTTGCAAGGAACACAATATTGTTCTTGCCCTGTGAAAGAGGACGAACAGTGAACAGCAAAACTACATGCATGCAATTCTGACCACAGCTTGATGGAAAGTGACTGTTCTTGGGTGCCCTTGGCGAGGTCAGCTGTAAAGAGCAGCAGACCTTTTGGAGGAGATTAACAGGAAGTGTTAAGCTGCTGCATCTTGGCTTCCCGGATCTCACTAGGAGATGAAAGCTGGCTTTATTTTGTGATCCTGAAGTAAGAGCACAGTGGAAACAATGATTACCAAGAAGTGTCCAGTTAAAGCAGAAGCTGACTGGTCACGAGCAAGGCAGGAGACCCAACACATTTAGCTTATTGGGTTTTTGAAGAGGACCATAGTGCCTGCCATAGCATTTCTGGAAAGAATGTCTCGAGAAGTTAGCGGAGGATGCGATAGAGGAGACCTTCCTTGCCTGCAGTACGATGAGAGGAATATTGTGAAGTTTCCTGGAACAATCCAAGTGTCCTCCTTCCAGTCTTGATCTGGCTTTCGGACTTTTTTCTTCCTGATCTTGATCCTTAAAGGGATTCCCTTTTGCTTCGTGTAATAAAGCTCTCTTTGACATGATTAAGTGCCAACAACTCACAGCTATTAGGACTAGGCTACCCCACTGTTAACCATTACTTGCAAGACTGTCCCCTGCGTGTTTCTATGCGTGTTTCAACCCCATTTTTCCAAGAACTTTTTGAAGTCTTCTTGTTTCTTTGTTATGATACCAGGAATGTTGAAATTTATGAATACTATTCATCTTTCATAGTTGAATCAGTTACCAATTTAATACTCACACCCTTTATATTGAGTGCTTCAGTTTTCAAATGTTTAAATTTGAATAGGATCTTCTATAGAAATAGTTAATTCAGGTAACAGTATTTCCATTCACATGAGTAGATTTTTCAGCATGATGGATGGGGAATATAATTTCTTAAAATTAGTTTTGAGTTCTGTGAAAAATTTCTTGCTTTTAGAAATGCTAACCTAGCAATTCAGAAGACTAATTAAATAATGGACTAACTTAAATGGTGTATAAAATTGCTTCATCCTAGTTATACTGTGGTGTTAAAAAAGGTTTTGGAATTAAGGTTCTATTTTAAAGAACAGTTATAATTTTCTGCTGTAGGAATCCCATGCAGCCCAGCTGCAGATCCTGATGGAATTCCTCAGAGTCGCAAGAAGAAATAAGAGAGAGGTATGTTACTCTGTATGTTCTGAATATTGCATTAGCTGTTGTTTGCTGTTTCCACTTTGTCAAACTATTCAGGCTAAAAAAAAAAACAGGACTTAAGTATTGAAAGAGCATTTTAATTTTTAGGAGATTTCTCAAACTTGTTATTTTAACTTTATAATGTGAGGATTTTTTTTTAATAAATATATTCTTTTTAAAAGGTGAACCAGTTAGTTTCTTTAAAAAACAGAGTTACAGAGTAAGGGAAAGACAGCAAGGGGGACATCGTCTGTCAGCTGATTCACTTAGCAAGTGGCTGCAGCCAGGTGCCCATGTGGGTGGCAGGGCTCAGCAGCTTGCATGTCCTGCACTGCTTTCCCAGGCACATCAGCAGAGAGCTGTGAAAGAAGTGGAGCAGCCATGACTTCAGCTAGCACCCATATGGGAGGCCAGCATTGCAGCCAGTGGCCTGAAACCATCCCAGCATTGAGTTTTAAAATACTTTCTTGGAGATGTGCTAAAAAGGCTTTGATGAGTGTTACTGCAATGGTTTTGCCTGAAAGCTATAAAATAGAGATGGGTAGCCATTTTTTCTGTCAAGGGTGATTTAGATATTTAGTACATCATTCCTGGCCATAGAATTCCCATCATACATGCTCACTCCTGCTATAGTAAGTGGAAAAGGAAATTATCAAATGATGGTTTACTGTTAACAATGAGAAGATAATTTGGGAGAAATTGTGATAAAATCTGAAGTTGAGTTAAAGTTTTTCTTGTAAAAAGGTATGCTGGGAAAAACAGAAACATCGCTACCTGCTTAGTATTTGGCAAACCTGTGTCATGAAGGATAGCTGAAAGGATTTTGTATTAATAGTTTACAGTGTTCCAGTGGTACATTTATCATTTACCTGTCCTTCACGCAAAGGAAGGAAAATTAAAAAAGTAAAATTCTGCTCTGGAAGTTGTTTTTCTTTAATGGTTTTTAATTGTTTAATCAGGGTGATTATTTTAAAATGTATGTTTTGTGCTGTGATTTCAGCTTTTTTTCTTTTTTGAAGCAATATAAGGCATGTTTTTTATTTTGGTGAAGTACATTTTTTACATTGAATTTTATTTTACATTCATATTTCCAACTTTTTGAGTACTTGTTATGTCTTCAACATTTTCTAACTTTCTGTTCATTAGATGTTTTCTGCTTTCATGCTAGTGTTAGCAGTATTCCTTACATGGTTTTAACTTAATAATTGTGAAATTGATAAGTTAGCAGAGGCATTTGTATTATGAATTTAAATATTATTGCAGTTTCTTAAGTTTCCTTTGGGGCGGTTGTTTTTTATTTGGTAAGGAAGATGTGGGGCTAGTGTGGTAGTTCAGTTGGTTAATCTTGTGCCTACAAGTGCTGGCATCCTGCATGGGCACACCAGTTCATGCACCAGCTGCTCAACTTCCTATCCTATTTCCTGCTTATGGCCTGGGAGAGTGGTATAAGATGGCTGAAAGCCTTGGGCTCCTGTACTAATGTGGGAGACCCGGAAGAGGCTCCTGACTCCTGGCTTCAGGTCTGCTCAGTTCCAGCTGTTGTGGCCATGTGGGGAGTGAAGAAGTGGATGAAGGATCTTTCTGTCTCTTCTTTTGTGTAAATATGCTTTTCCAATAAATATATTTTTAAAAAGTAGAGATGATACCCAGGTGTTTATTTGTTTTAATGTTTGAGAGTACCTCGCAACCTGCAGTCCATGTTTGAGTCAGCTAAGGCTCTTGTTGGAATTCAGGTCTTCAGTAAAGGTATCTGTTGGAGCTTCCCATTCCGTATTTCAAACAAACTCTAGATGGTTTTTAAAACTCTTGGTCCTTGGAACACACTTTGAATAGCCGTGCTTAAGATTTTGTGATATATGGAAATGAAAGCTGTCAATGTAAATTTTGTTTTTTGATTTTTCTTTTTTGCTATTGAAATTGCTATGGCAGAATAATTTTTGTTTTGTTCCTTTTTTTTTTACTTCAGTATAACCTCTTCTCCATTTTAAACAAAATGTTAACATTGTGGTAGTTTTATTTTTTGTGCTGATTGAAAGTGAAATTTGGTATGTAAGGAAGTATCTGATGGTGAATAGGTGAATGTGTCTGTAATATGACTAGTTCACACATAGGAGTACTGTGAGTTAAGTCAAGTAGCTTGCCGTTATGTATGTGCTGGATTATTTAAGTTATTCCTAAGCACTTGTATGGATCTCTACTTTAATAGAGATGAAATTGTTAGACTTGATGTAGTCAAGTAATAAGGATCCAGCCTGTAAGTGTAAAAAATATGAAGGTTGTTAGAGCTTTTGGCGTTCTTGCTATGATTGTATAGATCCTGGCAGAAGACCCGAGACTGCTGGGCTGGGCAGAAAAGTCTTCATTGACTGCAGAACACCTCTTGTTACAAGTTTCATATTTGTATTATTTGTTCTCAGAAGGAGTGATGTGGCGATAGTCTAGGTGGATGCTGCACACAAGTGGCCTTGTGTGACAGCATAGTAACCGTTAGTTTAGGAATCCCCAGTGTTTTAAAGGGGGTGGCATTAGAACCAGCTCAGTCTTTGTTCTGCAGGATAACACTAGTTTTATTATAATGATTAGAAAACAGAGTTTCCTTTGGCCTGGAAGTATGTCCATCTTACCAGGAGGTTCACTGTATAAAATGCTTGGGAAGATAATTTGGAACAAAAGCTGTCACAAAATGTATAGAAAATAGATCTGTGAGGATTTGATTTCCTACATTGACCCTTAGGATCATAATTTCCCCTGTAACTGATGTAGTTGCTACTGTTTTCCAATAATGTCTTTTATTCTGCAGCCTTCGATCACATAGCTCTAGTATAGAGTTTTGTTTGTTATTAAACTTCTACTGAATTGTACTATGGTGCTTTTTTTTAAACTTTAATGTTAGTTAAATCTAATTTAATTTGTTAAAGGTCCTGTTTGCAGTAGTATATATAATTTGATCTTATTTATCAAGCAATTAGGAAATAAATTAATAGCAGACAAACTACTGATTTGAATTTGTTTCCTAATGTTAATATCCAGTCTTTGAAAATCAGCTTGTACTTGTTATTTGTATCTTAAAATTGGACTGTAATTTGTGCTGATTTTGATCATTGATACATACCAATCATATATTAAATTGATTTTCAGGTTTAATGAGGTTATCACTTGGGTGTCTCATCTGGTTAGTAATTTAAGGCTTTTAGAATTCTTTAATTTTCCCTTTTGCTTTATTTTTCCCTGTTGATTCATCTTAGGTAGAGAACGGAAGGTACAGACATATAAAAGGCATTTACATTAGTTATCTATTGTTTTGTGTGAATTAACCTAAAAAAACATGTCTCTAGTCCGAAATCTTTATGGCAGAGTAGGTGGTGTCTGACATTGAAGGTTTCTCACCCAAGCATATTGGTGAGCGAAGCAATTACTCAAGGCTCCAGGGGAATAGAAACTCATTCAGGATTGCTGTGTTAGAGACACCCATTCCCTTGTGGCCATCTCCATAGGATTGGCCATCCCCTCCATAGGATAGCTCAGTCAGTGCGTGGCCGCTGACTTCAGTGAGTGAAAGCACAACAGGCGTTGAACACAGAACTCACATACCATTGTAGCTTAATCTTGGAAGTTAAGTCCTAACATCATATTTCTGTTTGTTAGAAGCAGTCATTGGGTGTATTATCACTCAAAATTATGTAAAGTAAATCTTTGCAGGCCATTGTAGAACCTGCCTGCTGCCACAGCATTTGATGGTTAAGAGTATTTAAGTGGTCTCGGTAGGCTTTCTTCATGATCCTATTGGTTAGAAGGACATTATGTTCTGTGTAGAAGCCAGAATCACTTGCAAATTTGCACCAGATTTTGAAAAATTGGTTTTTTATTATTTGGTCTGTTTTTTTTTTTTGTTGTATCCTTATACAGTAGATAGCATTGGGTAGTTCTGGCTTCTACTTAATTTAATACAAGAATCTTCATGAATCTGGGTTTTTTTTCATTTTCATTTGGATTTTTAATAAATTCACTTTTACAATTTGCAAAGCACAGAAAAGAGTATAGACCAAAATATAAAGAATTGTAATATTGATATTATGTATAATTACCATCCTGATTGAATAATGAAATACTGTTAAGTGCCCTCAGTTCTTCTAGCCTGCCTTTTCACAGTAAAGCCTTTGCCCACAAGGTACCAAGTGTCCTGATATTTCTGGTAATTAACCTCTCTTTGCCTGAATAGAAGCTTTCTGTTTTGTTTGTGAGTCTTAAATGTGTGTGTAGTGCGTGCATGCATGTGCGTAGTGTCTGATCTGTTGTTTCTGTGTGTGTGTGTGTGTGTGTGTGTGTAGTATATGATCTCCTGTTCCTGTGTGTGTGTGTAGTATATGATCTCCTGTTCCTGTGTGTGTATGCAGTATGTGATCTCCTGTTCCTGTGTGTGTGTGCAGTATGTATTTCCTGTTCCTGTGTGTGTGCAGTATGTGATCTCCTGTTCCTGTGTGTGTGTGTGTGTGTGTGTGTGTGTGTGTGTGTAGTATATGATCTCCTGTTCCTGTGTGTGTGTGTAGTATATGATCTCCTGTTCCTGTGTGTGTATGCAGTATGTGATCTCCTGTTCCTGTGTGTGTGTATGCAGTATGTGATCTCCTGTTCCTGTGTGTGTGTGTGCAGTATGTGATCTCCTGTTCCTGTGTGTGTGTGTGTGTGCAGTATGTGATCTCCTGTTCCTGTGTGTGTGTATGTACTGTGTGTGTGTGCAGTATGTGATCTCCTGTTCCTGTGTGTGTGTGTGCGTGTAGTATGTGATCTCTTGTTCCTGTGTGTGTGTGTGCGTGTAGTATGTGATCTCCTGTTCCTGTGTGTGTGTGTAGTATGTGATCTCCTGTTCCTGTGTGTGTGTGCGTGTGTGCAGTATGATCTCCTGTTCCTGTGTGTGTATGTATGCAGTATGTGATCTCCTGTTCCTGTGTGTGTGTGTGTGTGTAGTATGTGATCTCCTGTTCTTG